TAGCCGCGCTAATTGCGAATGCGTCAATGTGAGCGATAATGAGTATGGATGCCACGCATAATGCGGCCATAAGCATATTAAGTCGGGCCAGATCGGCTTAGATAGATAGCCGGATAGCCGGAGAACCGTAGACCGTAGACCACTGACCAGACCAAAGTCACGTTCCCAGTTTTCTGTTCTGGGTTCCATTTCCATCCAGTCTGAGTCTGAGTCTTATAAATTTGATATGCGCCAAACGTCGCCAGCTGCGTGCGCTGCTCGATTCGAATCGAATCGATCAATGGGGCTCCTCCCGTGGTATCAATCACAGGCCGCATTAGATTTGAGTCAGGTCCCATAACTATATATTTATTGACTGATTTGTGACGTGGTCAGCCAGAGTTCGCCTAGAACCTAAACCCAAGATTTAAAGCCGCGCCAAAACCCCCCCAAAACTCGTTGGCAACACCAACCTTGATTCGGCGACGGAGAACCCAAACCCGAACCCGAAACAAAAGCAGTTCTATACATAAATTTATCTCGGTGGTTACTTAACTATGCTAATATTCCGGTAAGGATGATGGGGCGTCGGATTTGAAACGAAGAAGACCCGTGGCAAAACTAGTTTAATTCAGCCAGCGCGTGGCACCTGCATGATATTAACTAGTGCGTTCTTTATCGAATATTCAATTCCTGAGGAATATCGCCCTGATAACGAATTACCCCTAATGGTGGCTCTAATTTCCAGTGGTTTACATATCGCCCCGGGCCAAAGGCCACCTAGTCCGAAAGCCTGAATTAAGCAGGCGAATAAAATTCAAAACACACGACTTGACATTGAACCGCGCAGCCAGTTAATTGCTTCGAATCTATGCGCAAAGCCAGCCAGTAAGAATACTTTTGTTTTGAATCCATGCGAGACATGCAACCGCGCTGAGGTCAACCGGTTGTCTAATTTATCTATTCTAGAGAGTTGAAGATCAGCCATTTGGCCAACATATTTTTGCTGCCAACTTCGGACGACGATGTGAGGCATCAGCTTCAGTTTAGCTCAGCTTGGCAACTGCAATTATCAATTATCCGAAAGACAGAAAGACACGAATGGAGCCCATGCATTCAAAGTGCATTGTGTGGGGCGATTAAATGGACCCTCAAGGCGTATGAGCAATGTGCCGCACTGAACTTTCCGACCTATGAAAATTCATGAATTCATTCGGCTCTGCATAAACAACAAAGTTATTCAAATTCGCAATGGTCTACCTAAATCGCCAATGACTTTGCTCGCCCTCAATCGTGTTCTTTTGCATTTCGAAAAACTTTCCAACATTTTCCAGAATATTTTTTGAGATAGTCAAGAGGGTTTTTAAGTTTCGTGCTTCTGAAAGTAAGATTTCTACTGAGAACTATTTTTAGGCTACAGCTTCTAGGGTTCTTGGACAACCTTTTCTGGTTTTCAATGGCTGCCAAACATTTGATAGACTCACCAGTGTTTGTAAAGAATGGATATGCAAATATTTCATTCGTCGTGTACAACATAAAAAGCAAATTATTGATTGTTTTTCAGCGGGGATTTTGTTGTTTGGATTTCTTGGCTTGGCTTGGATTGAGTTTTATATTTCGTTTTATTCGGAATTCTCTTTCTGCGCTTCCGGCTTGCTATCTTTGTATCAGTTTTGAGTTTTGAGTATCATTGAATCATTGGCCAACTGCCGAAGGTCGGCGCTCGGCACTCACCTCAATTGTGGTCCATAATTAGTCGTGCAGCTGGGGTGATGCCTTCTATATGGAAAGAGCCATAGAGCAATAGAGCCACCTGTCCTGCATTTAAATGAGGAAAGTCGTAGAGCAGCACCCAGTATCCAGAAACTGATTGATTTGCATCTCTGTGGGCCCCGCACATAATTAAGACTACAAAAGCGTCCCGTACGACAGGCCATAAATCAGGAAGAAAAGTTTTGAATACCAATGCGCTTACTAATTGTTTTCCGGTTACGCTTTTGCAGATGTCGCCCAACATAATAGGCAGTACCTTTATATTGGCCGAGACGGCCATTGCCGATGGCAACAACAATAAGATGGCCGCCAAACCCGCCGCTTCAGCCGCCACGCCCACCCAGAAGATAGCCAAGAAGGCGGAGGCGAAAACGCCGGAGAACAAGCCCTACGAAATGGAGATCGTGTGGCGCAACGTGGGCCTCTTCATCATCCTCCACTCGATGGCCCTGTACGGTCTGTACCTGGTATTCGCCGAGAGTGCCTACATGGAGCTCTTGCCAGGTGAGTTTGGGTATCACCGTGTCCTGCTGGAGGTTTACTAACTTTGGGGTTTCTTCTCCATGTCCAGTTTATGCCACCATGTTCCTGGGGGGTCTGGGCATCACGGCCGGAGTCCATCGCCTGTGGTCGCACAAGGCCTACAAGGCTAAGCTGCCGCTGCGCATCTTCCTCATGCTGTGCCAGTCTCTGGCCTTCCAGAACAGCATCTGGGAGTGGACCCGCGACCACCGCGTCCACCACAAGTTCACCGACACACACGCCGATCCCCACAACTCCCGGCGCGGCTTCTTCTTCGCCCACATGGGCTGGCTGATGTGCAAGAAGCACCCCGATGTGACCAGCAAGGGCAAGCAGATCTCCATGGAGGACATTGAGCAGGATCCCGTCGTCATGTTCCAGAAGAAGTGAGTAATAGTAATGGAAAATTTTATAAATTATAGAAGAAAATTCCTGAAAGTACTAGTAATTGGAATTACCATTACCCAGGATGTTTTTGAGTTTTTTAAACCAACAGTTTGAAAGCCTAAAAGCAGGCAATGATAAATTTTTCACATCTTATTTTCGGTGCATTTAAATACTCCTTTAAAAATTTCAATAAATCTAAAAACTATTTAACAAATTACTCCAACTTGACTTAGGATAATTAATGAGAAATATCTCTAAATTTTCGATACTTATATGCACTATAAACAACTTGACTATTCAGAACTTAGACTTGCATTCTTCCTGCTGTTTATATTTAATTAAATATTAATTTTCTATAAATATCTTTACAGACTCTACTTTGTGGTGATGCCCATCTGCTGCTTTGCCCTGCCCATGATCTTCCCCTACTACGTGATGGGCAGCTCCCTCCGCGTCTGCTTCTTCACCTGCTCGATGCTGCGCTTCTGCCTGTCCCTTCACTTCACCTGGCTGGTGAACAGCGCCGCCCACTTCTACGGCATGAAGCCCTACGATGTGAATGTGAGTGCGATGAACAACAAGCTGGTGTCCACTTTGACCATCGGTGAGGGATGGCACAACTACCACCACGTCTTCCCCTGGGACTACAAGGCAGCTGAGCTGGGCACCTACAGCTTCAACTGGACGACGGCCTTTATCGATGTGATGGCGAGGATCGGTGAGTTATAAAAAATCCCATATCATAATTCAATATTTAATACATTTTATTTGGTACCAAAGGACAAGCCTACGACCTGAAGTTCGTGTCCCAGGAGATGGTCTACAAGCGAGTCCTTCGCACTGGCGATGGCTCCCACATTGCCGCCCTGCTGGATGCCAACAACAACAGCGCCATCCCGACCAGCGAACTGGTGGCCCATCTGGATCACGAGAAGGAGGAGCACGCCATCTGGGGATGGGACGACAAGGACATCAGCGAGGAGGACCGCAAGGGCGCCAATGTGGTGAACAAGGAGTCCGAGTGCAAGCTGGATTAGAGAGTGGGGGTCAGTGGGAGTTCATCCAAAACGAACACACTTCTTGCTGCCACCTCTCGGGCCTGCAGTATTTAATTATATTAATTGCCCATTCTCCAATTTACTGCCTACGCATTTAAGTGGTGGCTGTTAACAAACTAGAAAAGAAAAGAAAACCTTCAAGGGGAACTCCGATCGTGAGACCCGATTTGATGGCAGCAAGAACAACTTATATATCAATGGCTTCAATTCCAAATACAACAAAACAAATGAAAACTATTCGAGATTAGTCAAAGCAACTCGTTCGCAGCAACAGAGTGTTATTAAAAAACCTGCACCTTATTAATTCTCCACTCAATCCCTATCTCGCACTTGTCGTTCGGGGATAATGAACACATCTGCCACCCTCTCCTACCCCCTACTACCCTACTCCCCCTACTCCTATCTCTATTTTTATATATAAATAAATGTATATTTACGCAAGAGGTTCTAGAATTAAGCGTACCTGCTAAGATCTATTTTAAGCATCGACTTTTATGTGTGTGTACATTGTGTTAGTTATGTAGGTCTAAAATTGTACATTTCAATCCAACTATTGTTGAAAATTCAAAAAAATTATATAAAACTAAAAAAAAACATATACTTCTGCAGTTCTTATTAAAAACGGTTTTGAAATTATCGAAGGATAAGTAAATAAAGGGTGAGTAAAAATATAATTAATCTCAAGCCAAGGTTATTAGGCACTTGCTTAAGCAATGCATATAAAACTTCACTAATATGACTATTTTACGCTCAATAAACCAAGCCACTTAAACACAAATCTTTCAACCTCATAATAATTTCTCATTAAAAAAAAATTATTATGGCTCATTAACCTGTTAACACCTTAGAAAAGTTTTATTACTGTAATTAGTTCTAAGCTAGCAATAAACTTAAAGCTTAATTTCTTTTTTTGACCCTTCATGTACTCCTTCTGGATAGCTTTTGGGAAGCAAGTTTGCGAACTTTTATGACCTTTCATTATTAAAAAAGCAATAAATACAAATAACTTAAGTAACTATACAAATAAGTTCAACTGGAATTATTTTACTGTTTATATTGCTGTTTAAGCACACTGTAAAAATCATGTTTCCAAGATATGTCCTGAAGTACAAATAAGTTTCCCCCTTTTGATTAATCTTTAATTTTCTCTTCTTTATTAGCTAAATGTTTACCATTTGGAAATTAAAAAAAAAGTTCCATAGACTTAGGAAAAATGAAGCCATGACACAGGAGACAGCTTTTATTGAAAAAGTGGAAAGAGGGTGGACATTATCGAGGGAGCTAACTGTAGCTGATGTGCTGCTCCTCATGGGTGTTGAATTGGGTGCGGGCGGCGTACAGTAGAGCGGCCATAAAGGCGCCGTTGTTCATCACCAGCGACAGGATGGTGGCCATTTTGAGGGCCGGCAGGATGAAGGGCAGCAGACTGCCCAGCAGGACGACGGGGAAGATCAGCATGGGCACCGCCACCTGCATCATGGTGACCTTGTATGAGTTCTTCTTCTTTCGCTTACCCAACAGTCCTCCGCCGCCGCCCTCACCACCGGCCACGCCCCCTCCGACGCCCAAGCCGCCCTGCTGCTTGGAGTCCCCTTCCGCTTCCGGTTCGTAGTTCTCCACACTTCCGCTATTGGCACCCCCACCACTTATCGATGGCAGATTCATCAGGTTCAGCTCCATTTCCTCGGTTTCACGTCTTCGCGAACGTCCCATCCGCGATTTTGGAGCTTTATAGAAAGGAGATATATTATCATTTTATCAAACTTGATATCAAATAAAATACGGGCTTTATACTTAATCATAAAATATACCTATCATTAAAGTATCATCAGTCAGGACTGTCGTTAGATGACAGTTATATAGTGAATTTCCTGTTATTATTCAGGAATAACAGGACTGTTATTGAACTTCTGTTTCTTGTTTTGCATTTATTTTAGAAAAGTTACCTGCAGACTTTTAATGCTAAATTGAATTTTAAAATGCCATAAAAATATAAAACATTTGTTTAATTTAAATTCCCTGCATAAAATTCCCCAAAACTAATTTTGGGCATGCGTGGAATATTTCAAGATAATTAAAGCCACGCTCAAAATCGAAGTGGGCAAACTTGTTATATGAAAAGCCACATTAATATTGTATTATTGAAATGTGTGAAAGTAAATTATAGGCGTTCATAGAAATCGAGTGAATGCATTTGCATTTAAATGAGAAAGATGTATGAGATTCTTTATCTGAAAATTCTAAGCGCAGATAGATATACTCACCCTTCTTGAGCGAGAACTTCAGTTTGTTGTCCTTGCTGGGCACGATCTTCACCAGCATTCCGGAGAGAAAGTGCAGCTTGAGGTCGCGGTGCTTGAAGAAGCGCTGGAAATTGACCACCAGTCGCTGATTCAGTTCCTTCTCGGACATCTTCTGGTACTTCTTGCCCACCAGACTGCCCATCTGGGTCTCCTCCCCGAAGAACTGGTCCACAAAATCCCGCGTCAGATTCCCCGTGTTGGGCATCTGGCGACGCTCCTCCATCTTCTGCAGCACGTACAATTTCGTGCAGTGCAGCATGGTGAAGTCCCGCAGACACTCGTAGATCCGCATCGGAATCGACGCCCTAAAGTATGACACACTATTCGCCGACTGACTGCGACCTGTGGTCGGGTTCAAGTCTTCGCTGGGAGTCACTGCATCTTGGCCCATCGATGATGGGGTGAAATTGAGAAGGAGACACAGGCCAAGTCCGAGCAGGACGTGCCAGGATAAGGATCTTGCTGAGTTAGCACGCATTTTGTACAAATATTTTCCTGGCTACACAACACAACTGCACCGCAGCAGTGACAGTGGAAAACTGAATGCACAACTTGGCCAAGAGCAGCTGCCATCCATCCTAGCCCGATTGTCTGGCCTGCGAGCGCCAATTCTTGGCCACTACTTTCCTCCGGCCGGGCCAACTGGTTTGCGATCGCCAACGCGCTTGGCTGACTCTTAGATTTAGTTTAGCGGGTCATTCGGCAGTTGCTCTTACTTACTTGCCCCACTTGCCTGACTTATGGCCGATGCATTCGATTGTTTACAGCCAAATTTCAGGCTTCCACTTGTGATGCCTCTAATCTCTGCCAGAATCAGTTCTATTCGAGCCTAGAATCTGGCGCACTTGGCTCATATTTCAGTCGCATGAACTGTGTCACCAGCGCGTCTGCAAGTAAGTCACTCAGCGGGTTCCCAGGATTTCAAAAATTATTTACTGTTTCTAAAGCATTTACAATACATTTTATAAAAGTTATCATTTCTTAAAGATAAGTATCTAAAAGAAAACGTTCAGTTAATTTTAGAAGCAAACATTTTTTAATTGAATCTGTATCAAAAATATACTTTTATTTTCTCTTTCGGATTTCAAAATGTATTTATTGGGAATTAAAAACCTTTACAAAATATTCTGATAACACTAATAAACAATTGTTTAATTTCCCCTTATTTAATTCCTATCCAAGATGACTTGACTTAGATTTTTCTTATTTATTTTGGTTATCAGGTATAACACTTAAAATTATCTATTAATCATCTCCAAATTGATTTTTAATAAACTACATAAATCATAATTCATATTTATCTGCAAGTGTATCCGTTACTTTGTTGACAGTGTGCAAAATTGTAAAAATTGCCACAAAGTGGAACAATTAAATCCGGATTCGAGATGATTGAGTGGCTAGATCGCTAGAAAATCGATACGCTTTGAATTAAGTGACGATGGATCAAGTGAGAGTTAATTAATTAGTCTCTAACCATAATGAGCCATGAGTATAGTCAAGGAGAAATCCGGGCCCCAGCCAATTATCGTCATTGGTGTTTCGGCTAAGTGTGACCCATTTCGATTATTTTGGAACTGGGAGTATCAATTGACTTTCTATACGTGTGGCACTGCGGAAGAGCACTTAAAAGAACCGTAAATCACGAACGCCCTCCGCCGAATTCGTAATGAGATAGAAATTTCACTTTTCATTGCGGCGGCAGAAAAACATATGCAATCGAATAAAATCCATGGGCGCTGTCAGCAGGAAATTTCGATTATTGATTTGTTATTTAAACAACTGATGGAAATTTTAAAAAGCTCGAAAATGGTTTCAGTAAATTTTGCTTTTATTATAATGATATTTAAATCGTATTTGATTTTTTTCAATTGAACAATTTTCAGCAGAAATCATTCTTAATAAATATTTATGAATTTAATTTTCATTCAGCAGACTAAACTTCACTATTATTTGATAACAAAAATTCTCTGCTGAATACCTTTGCCATCCTTCACTTGTAATAAATAAATAAGTTAAATAAATAATTTAAACTAGACTTAAATTATTATTTGGTTGCATGCTCGCTGAGGCTGAGGTAAGTGTAAGTCCTGGCCCGCTACCAGCTCGCCGTTATCCCTCGTCTTGCATCAAATCCTGGTCACGAAAGTAAACTATCCCCTCTACCACTCCTTCTCCAGCCAGACGGGCTGCTGGGTGTGCGAGTGCGAGTAGACCACGGGCACTGGAGCCTGGACGGGAACGGGGGCGGCGGCATAGGCGGCGGCTGCCTGGACGGGCAGGGCTCGGGACAACATCTGACCGATGGCCAGCACCAGCAGGATGACGCCCACTCCGAGTCCCTTGATGGAGACCACAGTCAAGGCCGCCAGCAGGGTGGTGATAACGCCCACGACGAAGGCGCCGGGCACCAGAGCAAAGCTAATGCGTCGCAGGAAATGGTGGCCAAAAGTACGACTTTCTGGAAAAAAAGGTGAAACCATTAACTTAATTCACAAATTTAATTGTTCACTTTTCATAATTATTTTAAGGGTTTATATTTTTTTTATATTTTAAATAATTTTTTTTTCTTTTTATACACTTTTATCTTTTATTTATCTTGGAAAATTAAAATTTATTTGTTTTGAGACACTAACCCGCCACATCCGAGTCCGCATCCGAGCTGTTGGCCGCCGGCTGCTGGCCAAGCACCAAATCGCAGGCCAAGAAAAGGCAAACGAGGGCAAACACAATCTTCTGCTGGGTGGCCATTTCGATTTGATTCGATGATCGTTGATTCCTTGAGGATGGGTAACTGGTAATCCGATTGACACTGCACTGCTCGACTCCGACACTGGCTAACAATTGAATGGAGGGCTCACATTGACATTGGCTTTTATCGACGAGGGTCTGGGCCGGCTCACTGGGCGGCTACTTGAAATTCGGCAGCCGGACATCGCGCAGCCGCAGCGTAGCACGAACGTGCGCCAAAACAAGCAAATCGTGCCGCAGCCATACGACTCACACCGCCACCAGACTGGCCCCTGGTCACAGATGCCGGTACACTGAGAAAAAAGCCCATTTTAAAATAGAATATTAAATAAAAAAAAATTAAAATATTTAATATTAACGATAAGGTCTTTAAATAACTACAATTTCTTTTTAAAAAACATAAAAATTTTAATTAATATCACTATGCAGCATCAAAAATTAACCTCGATGAATGCTATATTTTTGGATTCGTTACGAATTCCCAAGTTAAACTGCGTTTTCCAAAGAGTTCCCCGACGCAAGGATTCTTAGAAAAAGGACCTCAAAGTTCGAAAAATGCTGAAATTGACCAACTTTGCGGAGCTCTCAGAGGCAAATGGATGCATGGCTTGGTTCGAAATTAAAGTTTTTTAAAAGATACACCCTTTATCTTTCAAACCCCATACATAAAATAATTTTAGGATTTTTTTTAAGGCAGAAATAAATTCCAAAAAACAGTCAAAAAACTGAAAAACATACAGCTGCGGTCAAAATAGTAGCAGTGTTGCCGCCTTGTGTTTTTAAAAGTTTGATGTTGTAATTTTTTCTTATCCAATTAGTCTAATAGTAAAATTATAATCAATACAATATTACCAGGAAAAGATCAATTACAACAACAAACTTTTAAATACACAGGGCGGCAACACTACTACCATTTTGACCGCTGCTGTATACTTTTATGTTTTTTGACTATGTTTTCTAGAATTTGTTTCTGCCTTAAAAAAAATCTTAAAAATTTTTTAAGTATGGGGTTTAAAAGATAAAGGGTGTATCTTTTAAAAAACTTTAACATCGAATCAAACCATGCATCCATTTGCCACTGAGAGCTCCGCAAAGTTGGCCAATTTCAGCATTTTTCGAACTTTGAGGTCCTTTTGCTGAGAATCCTTGCGTTTTTTGAAAACGCAGTTTAACTTGGGAATTCGTAACGAATCCAAAAATATAGCATCCATCGAGGTAAATTTAAAAAGCACTAAAAATGCTGCACAGTGTATTTAACCTTTTTAAAACATTTTTTTTTACGAAAAAGATTTAATTTTTTTACAGTGCCCTTCTTTGAATATGCATGCAGTCTGTCATTATTTTCACTACCTCTGGGGGCCCTTTTTCGGGTCCAACGCATTTGGGGTTGTGCTGCATAGGAACTTGGACATGGAACTCGGATTTAAAACTTGGACATGGGCATTCTTTCACGACGCGTGTCTATATTGAGGGCAGCACCCAAGTATTCGCGTTCGATTCGCTTTCATTTTTCGTCGCTGGCCGATAATGATTTATCAGCTAATTAACAATGAGGTATTGAATTTTAATTCATAATCTATAGCCAGTAGTTAAAAACGACAACTATGTTTTAGCCTCTGAGTAACGGATTTTCATTGATGAATTGTTGGCATACGACGCCCTCGGCATTGCAATTCACTTTCATTAACGGAAACAAATAAAAGTGCGAGGTATGCGGTTAGTATATTATAAGTTGTCAGAGATCCTCAATATTATAATATAGGGAGGGAGTTTTTATTGGAGTTTTTCTAGATTTTTAATGCTAAATATGATATGATATGATAAATAGGCAAACTAAAATCTATAATTTAATTAATGGAAATAAAGTGACTCCGAATTCTGATTGTCATGTTGTGACTATTATTTGGATTGGATTATCCGACTTTTTTATTAATAAAAGATAAGATAAGCGGAGGTGTGCTACTTGTTATCGAACCGTGATATTGTGGACATAAAACACGGCTACCACACATCTCAATGTCCAAGTTATTGGGGGAAATAAATCCATAGCCGCTACGGCAATCGATCCGCATAAAGATTTCCCTATGGCGAACTGGAGTATTTGTTTGCTAATTGTGTGAAAGTAAATTAGGTGACCAAATACGTAAAGCGGATTTTTCGCAGCCAATGGATGGGGCCAATGGATAGAATTTACTTTCTACTCTGGATTTTGAGAGCGATCTGCTGCCCGCCTGCGCCAGTTTTGTCAACAACTTTCCCATGCGATGGCCGTCAAGCGTTAATTGGAGGCGTCTGCGGCTGTGGGGTAAAGAATGGAGTCGGGAACCGTTAGCAGGCTACTTAGAGAGCCAGCTATATTTATGGCCAAATAGCGGGGATTCGGGTTCGGGGTCCCGGGGGCAATTAAAGCTAAAAGAAATCAATGAGCGAGATCACTGAGAAATTGCAGGCCTACTCTAGATATTTTTCTTTTTTCCAACTTCTAACACAGACATCGACTTGGACGAGTGGCAATTTAATTGAAGAGGATCCAGCACAAGAATCGTGTTCTAGCGGCGGCAAAGCGGCACCGCTGCAACATTGCAACTGGCAACTTGCAACAGGTTGCTGATGCAGCGGCAACTTCTCGGCTCTTTCAGTTGTCTCTTCGGTGTGCTCAATTCCAATGCCAATTCCAGCTGCAGCCTCAGAATGCAGCTAGCTTTGGCTTTGGATTTTCTTTAGCTTTCTTCGGAGTTGATAAAACGCTTGGCCGCCGCCGATCGTGCCACATTTTGCGGCTGGCCATTGCAGCGGTAGCAGGCAGATCGATTTACCTTGGACACATGCAGCAGACATGAGCAGCGACCTGGTGAGATTCCTTTTACTGAGCTCTGTGCTCTGCAGCTCGCTGGCTTTGGGCCAGGATAGTGAAGGCAACCAGGAGACATCCACTGTGAGTCAAGAGGCCGCCCGGGGATTGGCCAGCAGCTATGAGCCGGAGGACAAGGAGGCGCTGCGCAAGAACTCGCACATCTTCATGGGCATCTACAAGAACTACAAGAGCACCTATCTGGGCAACAAGACGACCAGTGAGTACAAGAAGCGGCTGCGAGATCGCGTGAGTGCCCCACAAATGGCCGAGAACGAAGCCCCCGAATCTCTGGATCCCGATCAGTTGGACTCCAGGGATTCGCTGGCCGAGGAGATTCGTCAGGACGAACAGGCGCAGGCTCTGATGGAGGCCACGCAAACCGAATCGCCCAACTACGATGATAGTGAATCCTTGGCGGGCAAAAAGCGACGCAAACGCAAGCGCAAGGATCGCAACAAGCGGAGGGAGGAGTTGGAAACGGAAACGGAAACGGATCAGCCTGATTCTGCGAAGAGCGAGGAGAGCATACAGCGTTATCATGTGGGTCCTGGACTCAATGTCAGCCTGGACATGAGCAACGATATTGTGCACGTGAAGCTGGATGGCGAGAATCTCAAGGATATCATGGCAGCTCGCTGGCTAACTTTAGATAATAGTGAAGAAGGTGCGTTTCTTAAACTATAATATCTATTATAAACTCTAAACTATATAATTAATTTATTCCAAAGGTCGCGGCAAGAAGTACGACATGATCACCAAAGTCCTGCCGCTCTTTATCCTCCCATTCCTCATCCAATCTGCCATTGTTCCCTTTCTGGTCACCAAACTGAAGTTGCTGCTGGTCAAATCAATTTTGGTGGGCAAGCTGGCCATCTTCCTGCTGATCATCTCGGCCATCAAGAATGGCAACAAGATGGTCCAGAGCTACGAGGTGCCCTCCTACTGGGCCGGCGAACCCAGTCGAAGGTCGGAGCTGGCCGCCGCTGCCTCCTCGGCGGCTGCCGCCTACAATGGCTACCGGGTGGAGGGCAAGCCGACCACTTGGATCAGCTAGGCCAGGTAGCCAGGTCTCCAGAACACAGTCTCACACAGCTATAAGTTTCGGTTCTAGGCTTTTAGTGCTTCCAAATAAACATATACACAAATCGGGTTGATTAACTGGCTTTTCGATTGGTTGGGAATGGAATGGAATGTAAGTTTTCATTATAAAGTAGTTGGTATAAGCGATATTTTAAAGACTCAGAAATAATCATTATTTAAGAGTTTTATAAATATGTATCAGAAATAATCCTTACATGTAAGTAGAAAAAGATACTGCTCACAAATAATGATATTTGCGGACTTAAGAAGGTTATCTTAGTAGTAACCAAATGGTGTATTTCATTTGGTTTTCCGACTATTATAAGTGACTGATTTTTAGATTCAAAATATCAAAAATAATGATTATTTTCGGTCCCTGGTTAGTACTTTAATTATCTCTAAATACGACCACCTGCGGAAAGTAATTCCGATGATACAATAACTTCATAAAAAGCCCCATAAACCAGAAGAAAAGTGATTGCAAAATGTTGTGTATAGTATATAATTTAATATTTATTGATAGAATTTGTTGAGGCAATAAATTAGCGGTGGAATCAAATAAATTAACTTAAATTAAGGCATTAGGGCTCGACCAGCGCCCCAGTTCTGGCTTTCATTTCCTGTGAAGCACCCCTTTTAGTAGCAGGTGTACTGCTTCTCCAGCTGGACGCACACATCGCACTGGAGTCGGAATCCCCAGACCAGCTTGCAGTTGCACCGCCGCTCGGATCTGATGTGCTGCGAACGAACGCGATATCCGCAGACGCGGCACAGTTGCTGGCAGGAGAGGCGCTCCTCCAGCGAACCACCGCCATCCTTGGAGCACTGGCGACCCCGGGTGCCCAGCCACAGTCCGCGGGCATCGGGCTCACAGTAGTTGGGCGAATCCTGCATGAAGACCAGGGAGTCCAGGGGAATGTTCTCCCACATGATCTTCAGATTGCTGCTGGCGCTGTCCAGTTGGATGGCATCGTCGTACATCTGGAGGAGGTCCTGGGCAATCATTTCGAAGGGCTTCAGTACGGCCACACACTCCTCCTCCTGGCATTGTCCCGCCACAGGTCCTGGCTGCTTGCAACGGCACTCCTGCTCCAGAGATCTCTGCAGTAGATCCCCCACCACCCGTCGATTGTGGCCGGTGGCTCCTGATCCCGATCCAAAGTGCTTTTCGTACTGCTCCAGTGCCTTGGCAGGCTCATGGGCACAGGGAACGTTGAGGGCATTCTCAGTGCATCCACATCCGGCAATGACGCCATTGGCACAGTCCTTGGTTAGGGTGTGAATTATGCCGGCCATGGAAATGGCCGCCACATAGACATCCTCCCGATTGGGTGACTTCTCCTCCGGTTTGGAGTTCCTCTGGACAAAATCCTGTCCCGGGCAGTTCCATCGCTGCCACTGGAAGCTCTGCTGGCAACTGCCAAGCGCCTGTTTTAGTCCTTTTGCCGAAATATCCTCCCAGGAGAGCGGCGCTTGGAATTGCGTGTACTGGTAGTAGTTCATGGGCTCCAATACGGCCGCCAAAGTGGAAGTGACACCGAGTATAAATGTGATGGCGAAGATCATGTTGACTGAATGCTATTGTAATTCGTGATCTCTGATGTTTTCTCTGCAATGTCGTTGGCTCGACTGAATGGTGAGGTGGTTGCGTTAGCACACTTATATAGGCTGCAGATCCCGATCCGGGGCGCCCTCCTGGGGCCGGCCCGTGGGAAAATTCGGGCCTGGTCAAAAAACCGGAAATTTGCCGTTTTCCACTTGGAAATTTTGCCTGGCAGGGGGTAAATACAAAAACCCACTGGCAGCCCGCGATGCAATTGCGGAGCAGCAGCCCAGTTTCCTGCGACTACCTGAGGAGGAGGATCCTACTCCTTGCTGCGTGGGCAATTTTCCCACGCTTAGGCAGGTAGATCCTCGAATCCCGAATCCTGCTCATGAATGAAACCCCGACGATTCCATTCAATACGTCCGGATTTCCCCGTTCTAACACTGCACAACATCAATGCCCGCGATGGTTTCGGGTTTGTTTGGGTTTTGGACTGGCCAAGCCAATTATATAACAAAACATATGACAAACAGTAAATGTAATCTGGGAAATTAATTGCGCTTTGTGGTGAGCCGGCTTTGTTTCCATATTTAGCTAAAGTTAATACCCAGGATTTAGGCAAATGAAGCTGAATATCTGGATATACTGATAAGGGGAATTTTTTAATGCTACGGAATTTTTGAACTGGGAATTATATGTACAGTTTCTTAAATATTGTTATAGAAATTGTATTGATAGGCTACCATATAATTGTTTTTAACGAAGTGTTTTCGGAGACAAGTGGTGTGTAATTCATATAATCTCTGATAGATAGATAGATAGATAGATAATAAATGAAAAGAAAATTATATATGACTTGACCATGAAAATAATCTATCACAAAAAGATGATAGCTTGTCAGCTCTTGAAAGATAATGCGATTAGTAAAAGTGAAGCGTGGAACTATTAAATAAATAAATATGTAAAATAATTTATTGTCTCAGAGTGCAACTATAAATCAATACCATAATTAGCAAATATTTTTTATGGGGAACTTCCCTTTTCCCAGCTCGCATCGCACAAAGCCAAAGTCATTATAAGTACTTCAGTACTCTCCAGGCGTTGCGAAAACGTGTGCGGAAATTTCGATGTTTGGGTTTTAACACAATGAAAATACCGATTCTCTAATTAGGTCGAAAGTCTCGTCTGCGCGGCACCGGAAAAGGGTTTTTTAGGACCTAAGCGCCGGGTAAAACAGAAACAGAAAGGGACGGGGCGATCGGAAAGGAGCGCAGGTAGTACAAAAAATTGCTCAATTGGTCGGCTAGTGAGCCTGAATATCTGAATATCTGAGCGCTACGATCACACACATATGGGCCTTGACACTGGAAGTTCCTCGGGGCTCAGCAGCCCGGCCAGCTTGGAATTCCGACTTGCTGAGGAAAAACGCGCCAGATCTTCGGCATTTCTAAGTTTAATCAAAGCGCCCATGACAGGGTCCATAAATTCGGGCGATTGTCAGCCGCACTTTTCGCACTCGATCCATACATATGTTCCGGCTAATACCGCTGAAGCGGCTCATCGACGCCTAGATTAGATTAGCAATCTGCTAACGCAGCCAGCCAATTAAGATATAGGGGCCCACTTGAGGTTCCCCACCACGTTACCTGTCGCTATTCCGCCTTCGAGATCGCTTAGTTTCGCTTTGGACTCCGCCCGTGCTGGATTAACGTGGTTGCCATGATAGTCACCGCCAAATTGGTAGCCATTGGCTTGGGCCTTGCGCTCACGGCCTTCACTGTATCGACCATTGTCCTGGCCGTTCAGAAGTCGAGTCTTCAGAGTGATTTGCGCGATGCCCAGGAGAAATTGGACCTCCTAGAGGCGGGGTTTACGAGCACGGCTGCTCCGACAACCTCGAGCACTGCGAATCCTGGCAGCACTAGCAGTCCGGAACCCACCGAGGAGCCAGGAAGCACTGTTTCTACAGAGTCAACTGCTTCTACTGGATCTACTGCCTCACCTGATCCCACTGCTTCCCCTGGATCCACTGCTTCTCCTGGCACCACTGCTGCGCCAGAAGAGAAAATCGACTACCGTCTACCAGGAAATCTAAAACCCACCCATTATGATCTCTATCTATTCCCCAACATCGAAACCGGCGAGTTCAGTGGACAGGAGACCATTATCATTACCGTTTTGGAGGCCACCGACAAGATAGTTCTGCATTCCTTGAACTTGAACATCTCAAGTGTCTCCATAATGGGCTCGGGCAGTGATACCTTGGAAGTGCTGGAAACAACGGTGGATTCCGTAAGGGAGTTCCTCATATTCCAACTGAGCGAAGAGTTACCCCAGGGCAGGGAAGTGAGACTGCATCTGGGATTCGAGGGATCGATGGCCAACAAGATTGTGGGTCTGTACAGTTCGTCGTATTTGAAGGAGGATGAGACCCGCAAGTGGATAGCCACTTCCAAGTTCGAACCGACCTACGCCCGGCAGGCTTTCCCCTGCTTCGATGAGCCCGCCTTGAAGGCCGAGTTCACCATTACCCTGGTGCATCCCTCGGGGGAGGATTACCATGCCCTGTCCAACATGAACGAGGCGTCGAGTGTCAATCAGGGTGCCTTCCAGGAGGTCACCTTCGCGAAAAGTGTGCCCATGAGCACCTACCTGGCTTGCTTCATTGTCTCCGACTTCACGGCCAAGAAGGTGGACATCGATACCAAGGGCATTGGCGAGACCTTCACCATGAGCGTCTACGCCACCCCAGAGCAACTGGACAAGGTGGACCTCTCGGTGACGATTGGCAAGGGAGTAATTGAATACTACATTGACTACTTCCAAATTGCCTATCCGCTGCCCAAACTGGATATGGCTGCCATTCCCGACTTCGTCTCCGGTGCCATGGAGCACTGGGGACTGGTCACGTACAGGGAAACCTCGCTGTTGTACGACGCGGAGACGAGTTCGGCGACCAATAAACAACGCATTGCCAGTGTAATTGCCCACGAGTTCGCTCACATGTGGTTCGGAAACTTGGGTAAGTTAAGCCACTGGGGATAACCAGGGTCACGGGCGTAGTAAAGGGGGTTTGGGGGTTTTTCAGGTACTCAATGTTTGTTCTGAATTTCCCTTAATCAAATCCTGGCTACCCCACTGACCATCTTATAGAAATCTGAACAGATCTTAAAATTGGAAATTTGTAGAGTAATTTATTTCTAAAATTCCATTAATCGGACTTAACTAGCAAACTATATATTTGATTGTGTATTAATTATAATTATCTGACAGATCTTAAAGTTTTAAATTTGTAAAGTAATTTATTTCTAAAATTTCATTAGTTGGACTTAACTAACAAGCCATATATTTGATGGTGTATTAATTATTATTTTATAGTTACCATGAACTGGTGGAACGATCTGTGGCTAAATGAAGGCTTCGCCAGCTTTATCGAGTACCTTGGCGTGGATGCCGTCTATCCAGAGTGGCAAATGGCAAGTGATCCAAAGATACCCATTAAAAATCCCAACTAATTTTCCATATCTAACCCCCGTAGCGAGACCAATTCATCGTGAGCACCCTGCACGCTGTACTCACTTTGGATGGAACTCTGGGCTCCCATCCCATCATCCAGACGGTGGAGAATCCCGATCAGATCACCGAGATATTCGACACCATCACCTACTCCAAGGGTTCCTCTCTAGTTCGCATGTTGGAGGATTTCCTGGGAGAGACCACCTTCCGCCAGGCGGTTACCAACTATCTAAATGAGTACAAGTACGCCACGGCCGAAACGGGCAACTTCTTTGCAGAGATCGACAAACTGGAACTGGGCTACAATGTCACCGACATTATGCTGACATGGACGGTGCAGGTAAATCTACATAGGTGTTCCAAGAAACTGTGCGAATATTTCAACCCCTTCTTTTTGCTATTCTCATTTTGCAGATGGGTCTGCCGGTGGTCACGATCGAGAAGGTCTCCGACACGGAATACAAATTGACGCAGAAGCGCTTCTTGACCAACCCGAGCGACTATGACGCCGATCACGAGCCCTCGGAATTCAAGTGAGTGCCCGCAGAACTTATTGCCTGGATGTTTCGTATCTGATTGCGAATTTCGCACATACATTATAGCTACCGGTGGTCGATCCCCATCACATATACCACCAGTGCGGAGTCGGTGGTGCAGCGCGAGTGGTTTTATTACGGCCAGAGCGAAAGTAAGTGGTGCCATCTGTATGCAGATCAACGGTTCCCCAGATAAACTTATTTTTTCCACAGTCACCATAACCCTTCCATCCGCCGTCCAGTGGATTAAGTTTAACTACGATCAGGTGGGTTATTACCGCGTCAATTACGATACCGATCTGTGGACTGCTCTGGCTGATCAACTGGTGGCCGAACCGAGTGCTTTTAGTGCTGGAGATCGGGCTTCCCTGTTGAACGATGCCTTTGCCCTGGCCGATTCCACTCAGTTGCCCTATGCCACGGCCTTTGAGTTGACCCGGTACTTGGACAAGGAGGCGGATTATGTTCCCTGGAGTGTGGCTGCTTCCCGCTTGACTTCCCTGAAGAGAACCCTGTATTACACCAGCAGCTATGCCAAGTACAAGAAGTATGCCACAGCCTTGATAGAACCCATTTACAAGGCTCTCACCTGGACCGTGGGCGAGGATCACTTGGATAAGTAAGTAGAGTATCTCTTAGTGATCTATAGATTGTTGTATATAGAATTTTCTACCCAGTCGCCTTCGTGTCACCGCCTTGAGTGCCGCCTGTTCCCTGGGTCTGGAATCCTGCCTTTCCGAAGCCGGAGAGCAATTCACTGCCTGGCTGGCCAAGCCGGAGGATCGTCCCAAGGCCGATGTCCGTGAGACGGTCTACTACTATGGCATCCACTCGGTGGGAAGCCAGGAGGTTTGGGATGCCGTCTGGGAGCTGTTCGTCAACGAGGCCGATGCCAGTGAGAAATCCAAGCTGATGTATGGACTTTCCGCTATTCCTACTCCCTGGATACTCCAGCGCTATATTGATCTGGCCTGGAATGAGGAGTATGTGAGGGGCCAGGACTACTTCACCTGTCTGACCTACATCTCCGCGAATCCAGCTGGTGAATCCTTGGTCTGGGACTATGTCCGCGAGAACTGGCAGCGGTTGGTGGATCGTTTCGGACTGAATGAGCGGTATTTGGGCAACCTGATACCCTCGATCACGGCTCGCTTCAGCACTCAAACCAAGCTGGAGGAGATGGAGCAGTTCTTTGCCAAATATCCAGAGGCCGGAGCGGGGACCGCTGCCCGTGTGAGGGCTCTGGAGACGGTCAAGAACAACATCGTTTGGCTGGCCGAGAACCTGGAGGGTGTGGACGCCTGGCTGGACAAGCAGCAGCAACTGTAGAAAATTTCGAGGAGGAAGTGGTCTTGCGACCATGGATCGCATTAAATTTTGTACTCATCTAATTGCCATTATAAAGCAAAAATGTGCCGAACAAGTGGAAATAAAGATAAGCTAGTTATGGGGAAAACTGAAATTACAGCTCTATAAATAAGCAATTATCCCTTGGGCTGATTGATAACAAGGTTCGATTGTAGAGTTTGGGGTGGGAGTGACTAATGGAATCGACCTGTTTTGATTGACATTTATTGCAGTTAACAATGTCCGTTTCGAATTTTACAAGCAATGGAAATTTACTAGTTATATGATGAAACCCCCGAAAATGTTGGTTTATCGAGGGGAGATAAAATGAAAAAAAGTATTAAATGTATTTGAAATATATCATTTCATTTTCGAAATTATAAATCAAGTATTTCAAAAAACCCACTGCCCTAATCTTTTAATTGCTTATTTAATATTAGCGAATTCTTGAGAAATTTACAACCAATCTTGCACAACTTCTCTAACACGAAGTGAAATTATAAGGTGGATTATTATATTTATAGAATATTTGTAAATTAAAACAGAAGTTTATTAAAGAATTTAGACATTTTTAATCGATATCTTTAAATAATTTAAACAAAACACATTTAAGGATCCTATATTCTGTAATAATTATTTCACAACGTATTTATAAGTGTCAAAAATTATTTTTCGCTCAGTGATGCGAAGCGAAAATAATTGAAATGGTTAATTACCAATAATACAGATTTGTTTCAAGCTAAGAGTAAAAGTGAGAAATCGTCGTGATTGAAACCATAATACTTATAGAGTGTCATAAGCCAGGCGAATTCATGTCGCCTCCATTATTCCGCTGGAACGCAAGATCTCTGGTTTTTACCCTATCGACCGGTTGACCGTAATCGCGGTTATTTAACCATTATCATTATCGCACTTGTGTAGGCGAACATAAACCAATTCGAGTGCACACCATCGATTGTGGTCGAATATTGGGCAACCGGTGGATAGTGTTGGATCCGTCGACTAAATCGCTAGTTAGTCGCTCGCGATAGGTGCGATTGCAAAGATGTTCTTGTCGGGTTATTGGCTTCAGGTGGTGCTCGCCTGGGCGGTGGTGGCCTTTGCCACTGCCACTGTGGTTGTGGCGGTGCAAAAGGCTAAGCTGGAGAAGGACCTCCAAGATGTCCAGAACAAGATCGATATTTACGAGGAGTGGAATGGAGAGAGTGGCAGCCGCGTGAAGCGTGAAGATACGGTGCGTAATAGTAATAGAAAATTTAATCAGCAATAATAATAATCTAATAATCCCCTTTAGATTAATTACCGCCTGCCCACCGCACTGGTGCCCACCCATTACAATCTCTACTGGCATCCGGATCTGGAAACTGGCAGCTTCACCGGCCAGCTGAGGATCAGCATCACTGTGGTGGAGGCCACCAACCAGATTATCCTGCACTCCTATCTCCTGGACATCACAAATGTCTATGTGCTGAATCGTGAGGTGGATAAGTTCGAACTTGAGGAGGAGCGACAGTTTCTGATCATCACGCTGACGGAGGAGCTGCCAGTGGATGCTACAATTACTTTGGGAATCCTTTTCGGTGGTCAGATGAAGGACAAGCTGGTGGGTCTGTACAGCAGTACCTACTTGAATGAGGCGGGAGCTACCAGGTAATTTTTTTAACATTTTTAACATATGCCTAAAGATATGCAATAAATAATTGCATCACTGCTACTTAGCCAGCTATAAACTAGGTAGTTTTTGCTATAACTGAGGTGTTTATTTACAGGACCATTTCCACCACCAAATTCGAGCCAACATATGCCCGTCAGGCCTTCCCCTGTTTCGATGAGCCAGCGATGAAGGCCACCTTCGCCATCACAGTGGTTCATCCCAGTGGTTCTTACCATGCCGTTTCCAACATGCAGCAAACGGTGAGATTCAGTTTTCTTATAAAATTTATTTAGTTAAAACCCTTTTCCCTTAGGAATCCAACTACTTGGGCGACTACACCGAAGCCCTTTTCGAGACCAGCGTTTCGATGAGCACCTATTTGGTTTGCATCATTGTCTCAGACTTTGCCTCCCATTCCACGACTGTAAAAGCCAACGGCATTGGCGAGGACTTCTCTATGCAGGCCTATGCCACCTCCCATCAGATCGACAAAGTAGATTTCGCCCTGGAGTTCGGACAAGCCGTCACGGAGTACTACATTCAGTACTACAAGGTTCCCTATCCACTGACCAAACTGGATATGGCCGCCATTCCCGATTTCGCCTCCGGAGCGATGGAGCACTGGGGATTGGTTACCTACAGGGAGACTGCCCTGCTGTACGATGAGAGCTACAGTTCCACGGCCAATAAACAGTCGATTGCTGGAACCTTGGCCCATGAGATTGCTCACCAGTGGTTCGGTAATCTGGTGACCATGAAGTGGTGGAACGATCTGTGGCTGAACGAGGGATTTGCCCGCTTTATGCAGTACAAGGGAGTCAACGCTGTGCACCCGGATTGGGGAATGGTAAATATAGTCGTGGTAATCATATATCTATTAATGATATAATATATTCTCCCTAACAGCTCGAGCAATTCCAAATTGTGGCCCTGCAGCCCGTGTTGCTGTACGACGCCAAGCTATCCTCCCATCCGATTGTCCAGAAGGTGGAATCCCCCGATGAGATAACCGCCATTTTCGACACCATCAGCTACGAGAAGGGTGGCTCCGTAATCCGCATGCTGGAAACCCTCGTGGGTTCCGAGAAGTTCGAGGAGGCGGTGACCAATTACCTGGTGAAGCACCAGTTCAACAATACGGTAACAGATGATTTCCTCACAGAAGTGGAGGCGGTGGTAACGGATGTGGAAATCAAGAAACTGATGCTCACCTGGACCGAGCAGATGGGCTATCCGGTGCTGAATGTTTCCAAGGTGGCCGAGGGCAGTTTCCAGGTCACCCAGCAGCGATTCCTCTCCAATCCCGCCAGCTATGCGGAGGCTCCCGAGGACAGTGCCTACGGCTACAAGTGGAGTGTTCCGATCACCTATATCGCAGATGACGGTACAGAGGGCAGCTTGATTTACGACTACGATGTGGATTCTGTGGGCATTGCCTTGCCCACCACTGTGCAGTGGGTCAAATTGAATGTCAAGCAAACGGGCTATTATCGTGTGAACTACGAGGAGAGCCTGTGGAAGCTGCTCATCCAGCAGCTGGTCAGCAATCCCGATAGTTTCGATATCGCCGATCGTGCCCACGTGTTGAACGATGCCTTCGCTTTGGCCGATGCCAGTCAACTTTTCTACGGAATTCCTCTTGAGTTGACCGCTTACTTGGCACAGGAACGCGACTTTGTGCCCTGGTATGTGGCCGCCAATAAGCTGAGGTCCCTCCACCGCAGCCTCATGTTCACCGAGGGTTATGTTTCGTACCTCAACTATGCCAGAAGTCTGATTGCCGGAGTCTACGAGGAGGTGGGATGGACTGTGGATGCCGACAATCATCTCAGAAAGTAAGGATTTCAAGTTATTTGGGGGGTGTTCTAATTATAAGGTTGTTATAGTTTTGAAGATAATAATTAGGCAGCCTTTTCAAGTCTCTAAAAGGGTAAAAATCATCTCAGAAAGTAAGGATTTCAATCCATTTGGGGGGTTTTCTAATTATAAGGTTGTTATAAAGGAACAGGAAAATTGTTACTGTTCATACTTCTAATTCTACCAACTGAAACCCTCTTTTTTTCTCTCGTTTTTTAGCCGCCTGAGGGTTTCCATTTTGACCACCGCCTGTGCCTTGGGTGTTTCGGACTGCTTGGAGCAGGCTGCCCTGCGCTTCAACGCCTTCCTGGCGAATCCCACCAGCCGACCTTCGCCCGATCTTCGCGAGATCGTCTACTACTATGGTATGCAGCAATCCACCAGCCAGTCGAACTGGGAGCAGTTGTTCCAACTGTTTGTGGCCGAAACCGATGCCAGCGAGAAGTTGAAACTGATGTACGGATTGGCCGGAGTTCTGGACAGCCAGCTGCTCTTCAACTTCCTGGTTTTGGCTGGCGATGAGAGCATTGTTCGCTCCCAGGATTATTTCACCTGTGTGCAGTACATAGCCGCCAATCCAGTGGGTGAACCTGTGGTCTGGGAATTCTACCGCGAACAGTGGCCCCAGCTTATCGCTCGTTTTGGCCTGAACAACCGCAACTTGGGACGTCTTATTTCCCAAATAACCGCCAACTTTGCCAGCTCCGTGAAACTGGAGGAGGTGCAGCAGTTCTTCGTCAAGTACCCGGAATCCGGAGCAGGGGCAAACTCACGTTTGGAGGCCGTGGAAACCATCAAGTACAACATCGAGTGGCTGGCCAGAAACCAGGCTGACATCAGCAATTGGCTGAGTGGAACGGCCTCGCCGCTGACCAAGAAAAACCTATTGTAAAATAAATTGTAAATAAAAAGAACCCAATTAAACAGTAATTAGAATTGCATAAGCGAAATTTGCCGTTCGAGTTCAATAAAATAAAATTCCAAAATCAAACCATAAATAAAACCCCCATATTTTCCATTTTATCCGGGATCCGAGTGGCGATTTCTATGGCTCCCAGGAAATGCCGCAGATAGGGGTTACGAGGGTTGTATATGTGGTCAAAATGGAATCATGACCGTGCGTAATAATCCCGAGACTGTCCAGTCATAAAATTCGATATATGGCCTTGTTGTAAACACGAAAAACGTAAAAGACCACAGTGTTATGGTCTAGCATAAAACGTATTTATCTGGTCACGGTGCTGTATAGTATATAGTCTAGATATCGGCCCAGATTGCTGGTCAGGTCTATTAAGTCCAAATTGTAGGGTCAGATTCGCGACTTGCATTCAGTTTCCAATTTGGCTTCCAGCCTAGTGGAAGCAGTCAAAAGTTCTCCGCGAGAAAAGTTTTTCCCTAGAAATGGTTGCCTGTGAGTTATAGTTAAAAAAGTATAACCCAAACTAAAACTAATAGGACTTTATCACAGGGCTGACAGTTAAGTCGGTGGCCATCTTTTTGGGCCTGGCCTCCACGGCTTTTTGTGTGGCCACCATTGTGCTGGCCGTTCAGAATGCCGATCTCGAGAACGATCTGCAGGACGCCCTGGATAAGATCGACGCCCTGACAGCGGACACCACTTCCACCTCCACGACGACGACGACCACTGCAGATCCTAATAGGCCAACCGATGATGGCGGCACAGATCCTAGCAGCACAACTCCGAGTTCTCCGGGAGGAGAAACCTCTCCAGGGGGAGAAACCTCACCGGGTGGAGAGACCTCCCCAGGAGGAGAAACCTCGCCAGGAGACTCCTCTTCCTCATCCACATCCACCAGCACGGCTCCTATTTACCCTACTTTGCCGACAGGACTTCCAGATCCTGAAGAGGTAAGTGCAGTGCCAGAAATCTGATGTAATACCTGAAAGTTCAGAAAAACCCCCACGTCGGTTAGGAAAATTTTCCCAATTGGTGGTCAGCGGTGATCGTAAAGTCGGCATGGCTACTAATTCTGAATTTATCAAGTTTCCCCACAAGTATATTGGACATTTCAAGTGCTTATCGCTTGGCTAGCGGTTTTTTCCTTTTTTTATCATAATACAAAGCTTGGCTAATTTCACGGGTCTTTTGAGTTAGTTTAATTGCGGCCAACGCAGAGTTAAGAGTCACAAAAATGGGGCACACGAAGGAGAGGATTAAGGGTATTTATTCGAGGAAAAGGAGGAGTATGAGAAAAATTCAGAGAGATATATATTTTCATAGACTTGATCACCGCCGAACGAGTTGCCGTATTCTTTGGCCTATTGTCCACCTGCCTGATCGTTGCCCTCGTAATTGTGGTCGTCCACAGGGATAATTTGTGGCTGCAGTTAGACGAAGCCAAGAGGATGTTGGATGTCCTGGAGGAATATATTCAAAGCCACTTGCGGACTACGAATAATGATGGAAAATATTTAAAATGAGGGTTGTCAAAACTATGTTAATATTTTTCCAAAAATGTCCTTAGGTTAATAAAAAAATCGTACATTTCCTAACTAGATTATTTGTAGCTTTATAGTTATTTCACTCATTGAAATTAAGAACATAAATTCGTATTTCAGTTAGTATATCTCCCGTAAGGTTAAATTGTTGCAACGAAGTCCACTTTATTTACGACATGACCACAAAACAGCACCTTATCAAGGCATTGCTCGTTTTATAGCTTATTATCGAACGGGTGGATATTGAATTATCTTTACAACCCCGCAGATCCAATGGCGCCTGCCCACCCAACTGACGCCCATCAAGTACAGGCTGTTTATCGCACCCAATCTGAAGACGGGCGAGTGTGAGGGAGAAGTGTCCATTCAGTTCCAACTGAACGCCGTCACCAATATGATCGTCCTGCACGCCAAGGACCTCAATGTGCACAACATCAGCATTTTGAACATGATGGCGCGCATGCGCATTGCCATCGATTATGTCAAAGAGGATAAGGAGCTTGAAATAATCATTATCTACCTGAGGGAGGTGCTGAGCATGAACAAGGCCTTCACCCTGTCCGCCAGTTTCAATTGCAACCTGAACAACCTGGTGGGCGCCTACATGAGCAACTACACAAATGCCGAGGGCGTCGAAAAGTGAGTACCTTTATAATTTATAATTATATAGTTAATTACTACCAAATTTTGGCAAAACAAACTAAGTTTTTAAAGCATAAGATAAGAATTTATTCAAGAACATTTGTACTGGTTTTATGTTTCTTATCAATTCTTATCAAAGCTACTTAAGTTAACAACTAAAATGTGAATGAGTTTTTTTTATTGTTGGCTAATTAATTAATAATAATAATAATATTGAGGTTTATTTCCTTCTTCCTATATAGGAAGATATATTTTAAGTGCCAATCTATATTATCAGGACTTATTTAATTTTAAAAGTTATATTATATTGACCGATGCTGTGAGCTTAAGATAAGTTCCCAAGCACATTTCCGAATACCCCCAATGTTGGAGTTTACCGCTCGATGGGGGCTATATGCACAAAAGCCGGTCTCAGCTGATGAGAGAGCTTTCCGGAGAAGCTCGAATATCGTGGCCCCTTTGGAGCCACGCTTCAGTTGGAAATTCAAAGCTAAGCGCGACGGTCGCAGAAAGAAAGAGCGGGTCGCGTCTAAGAAAACGATCTCAAGCCCCTCGCTTCCCGGTTTTCTCGAGTGCGCGCCTACGATTTGAATCAAGAATGATAGCTGTCCGCCAATTGCCGTTATCAAATTAGCTGAGAGAATATTTCGCGGACCCGGCAAAGTGACAATTAATGCCATTCGTAGACCAAACGTGACACGAAAAGCTGTGATTCCAACTGTAAATCAAGTAAAAGGCACAGTGCGAAATGCGACAAAAATAATAGTTAATAATAAGCGTGGTCCAGATCAATCAGATACCGTTGAGTCCGCTCCAAAAGCTCCACTACAAAACGACCATTGTCGCCGCGTCCGTTATGCGATCGAAATTCTAGTTTTAATTGGGCGCATTGATGCGATTACTAATTTTAATATTTGCTGAAATGCGAGCAGCGAATTGGATTCTATGCCAACTTTGACTTTCAACAGGCAGTCGCGATAAACAACGGGCCATCGCTAGCTGGCCAAGAGAACTCCACATGGCTAAATCAAACAGGTTGCACCGCACCGACCCCCTTTTGCCCCATCATTTGGGCCCGCTGCAAACAGGCTTGGAGCCAAATGCATACATAGTTCACTTGCCGCGCAAGTTCTTGGCCTTAAATCGGCCACAGTGATGCACTGGCAAAACAGTTTAAGAACTTCTTCTAAACAAAGAGATACAAATCTATATCGTATTTATATCGAAATTATTTCTTGGGAATCACAATCTTTGGTCGTATCATATTTGAATGGCATTCCGAGATATAAGATATATGATTAATATCAAATCTACTATTTCTTTCATATAATAAATCTGTTTATCAAACTTGATCTAAAAATTTTAAAAGCTTTTTGCCATGAAAATATTTTAATACAAAATAAACGGGCAACAAAATTAATCAGATAAAAAACTCATTACATCATTATCTTGAAAGTGTTTTAGTTGCTTATGTTAACATATTAAAATATCTAGTAAAAATGATAAAGTACACAGCTTCTCACTTATCTACAAGATCGCGGAAGAAATTATTGATTTTCGTTTTCTTTTGGTTTCTTTGCATAGTGTTGATTGTTTTGCGCTGTGTATCTCTGGCTGCTGGCCAAGAAATGCGTCGTGTTTACATCTCCAATGCGGCGGATACTCAATGGCCGCTGAGAAAATACTTTCTTCCAAAAGCCGAAACGAAATGGGTCGACATCATTGACTGCCAAGCAAACTTGACTTGTTGTCGTAGTATTTTTCCCCTCCCCGTTTCTCGACGTGTTTCCTCGTTTTGTTTTGTTCTTGAAAGTTCAGCCGAAGCTCGGTGGTCAAACCTTTTTTCATTTTCATTGACACTGATTTCTTTTTTGTTCTTCTTGGGCGAAATAGAAATTTTTTATTTTTCTCAAGTGTGGGAAAGAACCTTCGAAAGTGTAGGGTTTTTAATTGGATTTTGGTGTTAATATTGTAAATTAATTGCTATTGGCGGAATCGATGAGGCATTTGACACCTTTTGCGGTGTGTAAATTAAACACTACGATTCGCAGTTCAATGATCTTTAAAATAAACCATATAAGTTTTCAGTGTGATCGACTGTTCTTTATTGAATTAAATGGTTTGGCTTTAAAAGAACTATAAATAAAACAACAAAGCTATTGATTAATTAAATATTAATTTACTTCCAGCTAGAATTTCTAAACGAAATCAAATACAAATAAATATTATTAGGCACCATCAATGCTTTTTTTAAAACCACGCGCACCTATTTTAAAATAAATTAGTCAAGGCCGAAGTTTCCTATGCCAATTTTATAGTCTACCTTTGTTGGAAATGATGCAACTCATTGATTGATACCAATTTCATTTTACATTTCGTGAACCCCAAACATGCAAATTGTGGCAATCATTTCTTTGTCAACCCATTTGCGGTTTATTTATTGTTTTTATTTGAATTTTTCCTTTGTGAATATCGTAAATTGCAGGCACGTATAGGCGACCTTTGTCAAGTGTCATCCCATCGCGGGTGTTATGGACTGTATTTCGTACTTGTCGGGATTTTACTTCGAGTTTTGGGTGTTTCTGGGGCGCACTTGTCACGTATAGCGATTTGCATTTTTGTGGCTATTACTCGGCGACTTTGTGTATTGTGAAAGTTATGACCTTAAAAAGTACGAAGAACGTGTTTCAAATTAAAGCTTTCAATTTCAAATTTCATATATTCAATGCAATTTGGCTCTGAAGTAAACAAATATGATGCTGTGCCAAAAAATAATTACAGTTTTGAAGATTAGAAAAATATTTTCATATTAATATGGTTGAAAAAGAGTAGATTGTATATGGTTACCCCATGAGCCAAGAACTTTATAATTTATATAATCTACATCTATAATCTCAAAGGTATTTTTTTACGTCAACATGTTATTATTCTTCAGACAATTTAAAAATTTTTTTAAATAAATAAAATATGTATGGTTTTACTGGTGTTCTAATGCATCAACATTTTTTTCTGAGTGCACTCGACTCGATCTTCAAAGAAGTGAAATTTATGCGACTCATTAGTGAGGCATGAGAACTGTTATGTTATGGCTTGTGCCCCCGCGATCATCGCTTCATCGGCTTTAGAATGCCGAGATATCCGCATCCACGTCTGTGCAATGGGGCGTGTCCGATTGCCTCTTGGAAGTCGGAGATATATATAAATATGGTATAGTCGCTCTATACCCGACCATTGTCTGCAGATCTTCTGGCTGTATTTTTCAGCCTCTCATAAGGTAGTAGTCATGCAATTTGCTTGCTCCGATGCGCGGTGGCTTTGTGCGATGTGCGCTCCCTAATTGAGTCAGCATTACATCATCCGCGGAAGATGGAAGGGGGCTGTACTGTGGGTATATTACTATGGGCATGGGTATCAGAGACAATTGCCCGCCGGCTGACGAAAATTAGCATATTCTGCAGTCTCGAATTCCTCATTTCGCACAATTTAAAGTGAATAAGGTTCGTGTGATACTGCAGCTGCATCGCATATTGTTCTCTCTTAATAAATGCCTCGGTACCGAGTACTCCTTTATCCTGACATAATTGTCAAAAGCCAAGACGTGGATCACGGCTCGACGGCCAATTCAATTCATTTCCATTGCTAATAATGGCATCTGCAATATCTTCCCATCGCACAATCTGCGCAGATTTGTGCAGCAGACTTTGTAAATTGACAGGCAAAAAGCCAACAACCTTTTGCGATCCGTCAATCAATTGTACACAGGAGGAAAATCGATCCAATTCGATAAATATGACAAAGAAAATTAATATATTTTTTTATTGAAATAATTTTTTATAAAAAATAACAATAATACTAAATAAAAGTAATGTATTTATATTATGTGTATAACCCTTTAAAAAAATCATATTTATCGTATTTGTCGTATTCTTAGCAATTTATAAAATGACATAGTTAGAATCGTTTAGATTTCCGATATTTCGAATTCAATTTTTCCGTTAATTTTTTCGGTGTAGAGACGCCTCTGTAGAAAGTGGCCTGTGGTGGCCGTATCATTGCACCAAGCCCGGGGATTCCAATTGCAACTCTTGCGGTTAGCCCAGTTCCATACACCAACTAAACTAAAAAATGGCTTCGAGTATTTGTAGTAACAATTTCACGAAGTGACCAACTTCATTACGTGACCGTTCGCGGGGATTGGGGGATAAAAATTACAGGCGTCTGATTGATCTGCAGCGAGACAAAATTGAGGCAATCTCCACCTGGAGATGGAGTGAAATGTGACGGAAGCTGAGTCTCCTCAACTGGCACCTCCATAAAAGCCGGGCAAATAAACCCCGGCTTGTGTTTATAAGCAGCTCGGAG